ATGCAACACACAAATTTTTTATGGTTAAATATTTTATTTTTATGTTTCTATTTTTATTTATATTTATTTCTTTAATTCATTTTTTCAACCTACATAATGAGTTACATAGTATCTATTCGAATATTTTGATATAGTATATATTTTCATAATTACAAAGTGATATAATCTAAGTTATTATACATTGTTTTTTTATTAACTTATTTTTCATTTATAAAATAGTATATAAGAAAAGAATAAATATTTTTAAAAATTGGATAGTTTTTAATGTAGATAGGTACTTCTAAGGTGGAATTTATAATTCTGAATTGCACCCGACCATCAAATTTTATTTTTATGAGTATTATTCAAATTTTCAATACTATTATTACTGCATATGATATATTCAATGGGGGATGTACCTTTTTATAGTTAAATTGGCTACATATTTGAAACTTTTACTAATATTTTAAATTATTTATTAAGTTATTATGATTTAAACATAGTTTTATATTTTTCTAATTATTTTATTAATATTTTAAGTACTTTTGAAGAGTGAATATAATTAATTAAATTAATACCTACAACCATAGATGATAATATATTTAATCAAATTAATTTCCATAATAATTTTTTGAATTGTGCCAATAAATTACTATTAAATTAATATAAGATCTTACTGAAAATATATCTAATAAATTTACAATCAAAATTTCAATTTAAGCCAATTTGTAGTTAATGAGTAATAGTCATTGAGTGTATAAAACTTAATTATGTTTTTTATGCATATGATTTGTTAATAAATAAATATTGATTAAATGTCAAATATAGACGAAAAATTTTTCTGCCCAAAATCATGTCAATTATGACAATAAGGATTTGTCCATTATATAGATATATATATATATATATATATAGATATAGATTTATAGTATAATTATAGGTTCGTATATTTATGGTATCATTGGGTGTTATTATCTTAATTGGTGGTATATATATTTTTATGCATTATTAAATATATATTTTTATGCATTATTAACTATCTGAATGATTCTCATACTTAAAATTGATTTTCTATTTTTAGAAAAAATGAAACTGAAATTTATTATTATTTTTATATAGATTTTTTTCTTAAAATTCTCATTCAATAACTTTTAGGAACTTCAAAGGTAGCTGAATAGTAAGTCGCATAAATATTATTGTAGATTCCATATTAATTTGAATTATTAATTGAATACTAGTTTAGTTAAGTTAATGCAAAGTGCAAATGAAAACACGGATCTAAAGTATTATTGACAAATGCAAAAATAACTAAACTTACAATTACACAACCAAATGTAGAAATGTTGTCAATTATAGTCATTGTATATCATCTTTATTTAGCAATAAATTCAATCAACTCCCTCTTTATATATATATATATAGATTTGTAAGTAATTATTCAGCAAATCGATTGTATAATTATTTTACAAAGATTATGTTGACTAATTACTGAATCTTATATTCTCAAAATACTCTTATATTGAGCTCTTTACAAATAAGCTTATTAACGCATTTGACGGATCAAACCTCAAGATGAGGTGCAATCTACTAATTTTTATACAAATTCACTAACATCATAATAGGGTCAAAGACTAATTGACTCCTACATTTCTAAGAGCATCTCCAATGGACAAATGTTGTGGTAAATTACATTCCACATCAACACATTAATAAATTCACCATTTTTTCATCTTCAATGTAGAATATGATTACAAATGTTGTGATGATGTGGACATAATTAATGTCTACAATGTAGAAAAGAACGTGGTTCATCCACATTTTCCTCTACACTCTAGCTAACCAATGAAAAAAAGAGACAAATATTCTTACCAATTCTAAGCTATCTAATTATTTAATTAAGTTTATTTTTATTTTTAAAATTTTTAATATATGGTAAGTATATAATATTGTAGTTAGACTATATTGTGCATTGGAGAGAATTTTTTATTTTCATAGTTGTAAGCTTAATATTTTTCTTACATGGTGCACAATCCATTTAATTTATTGACATTTGGCAACATTTATTCTACAACAACATTAAAGCATTGGAGAGCTCTAACAATAATATGAACTTATACTATAAATTGTCATTTTTTTCATTTATGCTAGTTTTTAGACTATATTTCTAATTGGACATATACATACTTGAAAAAATTATAAATATGATCGATAGATCTGCCTAACAACTTTAATTTTTTAGTTTTGATGTATAATGTATATTAGTACAACGCCCGTGTACTACACGGGTGTTTCATAAAAAATTAATTATCCAATAAAAAGGGAAAAAAAATTACTATTGTGAATTAAAAAACTATAAATGTTTAATAAAAAATATTTTTAACATTATTTTGAATTCTATAAAATATTTTCATGAAATATTTTGTATTTTATTTAATATATATATATATATATATTTAAAATTAAATAGATTTTATTAATCTATTCGACAGTTAATAACGCCCATGAATATCACAGGCGCTTAAAAGTTAAATATTTGTATCAAAATAAAGAAGTGAAGAAATATATATTCTTATAGTAGAATGATAAAAAAATTAGATATACAACTAATAACTACAAAAAATAACAAAAATAATTATTTAAAATAATACTCTTATTTTATACTCAAATTGTTAAAATGATAATTTTTTTAACCACACACACATACACAGACGCACACATATTTAATTTAATTTTTTTTCGAGTATGATTATATTGTAATTATACTTTATATTTATACAATCTTTCTCCCTAATTTAATATATTTTAAAATTTATTCAACTTTATGATGTTCAAAAATTTAAAATATAATGTGTATGAGTGTAATATTTTAAACTTTACGAAATAAAATAATTATTTTTATATTTTAATTATAATGTTTATTTACTTTATTTTTCACGATCATAATATTTATGTGTAGTCTTTATTTAAGTCGAGACATAAACTTTTAGAATATTTGTTTATATTAATTTGATGTTCATAATTAGTTTATTTATTTTTTTCTAAATAAAATAGCTATATTATAGTATGTTAATACACATAAATTTTTATTGCTTTATATGATAAAATATACTTTTTTATATATTTTAAATTAGTTTGATTTATAATTTGATATAGGATTCTTAACATTTGATTGATATAAGATTCTTAACTCGTGTAATTAAGCAATATTGATGTATGATTCTTAATATTTGATTGATAATGGATTCTTAACCCGTGTAATTTTTGTGGTTCATGGAGGGGATTGGATTAAGCCAAAATATATTATAATATTAAGCTTTTGTAAAATATATTAAATTTTTTATTTTTTAAAAACTAAAATAATTTAATTTTATATAAAACATTACTTTGGGTTTTAATTAAATTATCAAATTATATTTTTTTAATCATAGTAATTAAACACCCGTATATTAAATGAAAATGTCAACCCATGTTAAATTTTTTTACTTATATCATATAAAAACTAGTACAGATCCCGTGCGATGCACGGGGTGCACAATTTTAAGGCTATTTATCCAGACTTATAATTATATACATGAATAAAGAAAAATGTACGGGATATATATAGTACGTGACCCGTGCGAAGCACGAGATATATTTATTTAGAGAATATTATATTATAAGATGCAATATTCAATAAAAGTCTATAATACGCAAGAAAATTGTACAATGTTCAATAAAAATTTTATAATATTCAAGTGGAGTCTTAAAGTCTCTTGTACATTAAGACTACTGACAAAATAATATTTAATCAATGAGTTTCCTTTCCTTGTAGCCAAATTGTGAATGTGATTTGAGGAGTACAACAAATCGATATATAGCTGACTTGCTTTTTTCATTGTAGTTTTTTTTATTTTTTTTTGTTTTTAATGAATTTAAAGATATTCTAAAATATAGCAAAAATTAATTTTTTTTATTACAATTAGGAATTTTACTAAATATAAACTCTCAATCTATGGTATTAATTAACGTTTAAGTCTAAAAAATTAGGAATTTTTACCTCTTTTAATCAGCGTTTAAGTCTAAAAAACAATAGAGTTATTATAAGTTTTTTTCTACATCTTTTATAACATTAAATATGAGCATGTTAGGGCTAGCTTGTAAAATAATTAATATATTATCTCACTAAAACATTTGTACTAATAAAAATCTAATTTTAGCATATAAATTTATTCCTTAATATAAGAGAAAGTAACAGTTTTACTTATTGTTGTTCACCATATAATATTTAATTATTATTTTATTATATAATAAAAAAAATATTGTTAAATAGTATAGTAAAATTGTTATAAAATTATATGATTTTTTTTTTTTACAATATGGATTTAATATTTTTTTATGATTTGATAATATAAACAAATCTATACTTAACTTTGACAAATAAAACAAATAAACACTTTAGTAAGTATTTAATGTATATACTAAATAGGAATATATTTGGTATAATCGAATACCAAATATAATCAAATGAGTCAAAGTGTAAATTTTTATTTGGTATTTGATTTTTTTATTATTAAATTCTTTTTATTGTACTTACCTTTTTAAAATAAAACAAATAAATAAATTAATTAAATAAATAAAATATTATAATACCAAAACAGTAATGACATTTAATGCAGTTGACTTTTCTGGATAGTAAATATAGTAAATAGAATCTCCTTTTATATAAGTATAGATTGTATAATACGGAAATAATAATGCAATAAATGTTGTTGACTTTTCTTTATACTAAATCTGATAAATGGTATACCTTTTAATATAAGTATAGATAGGAGGGAGTAGATTTTAAATACTACATGAATTAATTTAGTTGTAGATTTTTTCTTTTACAAGAATAATTTACTTTACTCACTAGTTTCTATTCACGAAAATGAGAAAAAAAAAATGCCATAAGAAATTCGAATATTCTAGAATTCAATAAGCTTAACAGCTGTCATAAATGCTAGCCATCAGATGATTAACTGATCAACGGCTCGCTCAAGGAACTATCTGCTCTCTAATAAGTAATAACACGCACGACGCATTGCATTCCACATTCACTTTCTAGCCCTCTCTTCAACTGCAGTCTGCATACCCATGGAGAGCCACCTCAATACCACGGCCGGTTTTGCCCATTTGCCCGAAGCCGATCGACAAAATTTCCTCGATAATACCAACCCCAATCCCAACCCCAACCCCAACCCGAATCCTGACCAGCACGCTCCTGTTCCTCCCCACGCTCAGGGCGGCGGCGGCGGCGGCGGCGGTCCCGCTCATCATCAGCCGCAGGGAGGAGGCAGCCGTCACATTGCCAAACTGGCTTTTCTGAGAGCCGTGGCTGAAGCATTTATTGATCTGTCTCCTGATATTGGCAATCCCGTGTCGCTCCAGCAACTAACAAATTATGTTGTCAACAAATTCACAATTGACGGAATACCCCTCGATGGAGCTAATCTGGAGGATCCAATGAACGCAACCATGGAGCTTTTATGTGATAACCTCAGCCAGGTTGGTGGCGGTCAAATCCTTCAAGGCACTACTATTGCAGGGGAGACTGCTTGGTACATTGAGGTACATTATTTAATTTCATAATTAATTTTAATTAGTTCAACAACCTTCGCTAGTTTCTTGGATTATTGGAGTCGAATGATTTAATTAGTTTAAAATTTTAATTAATTTTAATTTTAATTAGTTCAACAAATTTCTTGTCTCGACTTTCCTTGCAGTAAGGGAAGAAAACTCTCGTCCCCTCATACGCACAGGTAATAACCTCTTCGGCAGATTTTTTAAAAAATTTTTTGATCTTTTTGTAGTATGTGTTTAATTTGTCCATACTCTCTGAAGATTCTGTTTTGGTTTTTCTGTTTCCAACGATTAATAGAGGGCTAATCCAATGTTTGTGTTTAGGTTTTTTCTTTATTAATTAGATGTTATGAGAGTGATTAATAGGTTGATAGCTGTGAAGGCCAAAGGAATGATTACTAAGCATAATAAGTTGATGATTTTTTCTCCTGATTTTGCTGTTACCTTGGAAGATATCTTTTCTTTGATTAGTAAATGTAAGGACTGGATGTTTGTACCACTTATGTAAACTTGTTTCATTTTTTGATTGGCCTAGCTTGGTCTTTTAGGGGAACTTATGCAAGTATGATGAATAGGTTAAAGACTTCTGAACTGTGATATGATATGTGTGTATAAAATTTGAGTGATGATTAGTTTAAAGAATTGATAAAATCCCTATTTTATTATCTCTATTTATTTTTTTGAGTAACCTTTAATTTCAGGTTCAGGTTCATTGAAGCAGGGGCATGAAGATTGAATCATCTCTTATTTTTTATCAGTTGAATATCTTACTTTAGTTACACAAACTCGTATTTTCATTTTCGTGTGTTTTGAGCTAGACATGTGTCGTTGAACCTTTTTTAAATATGATGTGATTGACTCGAAGCCTTGATAATCATCTTTACTTTCAGTCTTTCACGCTCATCCTCCACTAAAAATATAAAATGATTCCTTTTAAGGTTCAAATCTAAATAGTTGGTATGCAACATTGTTGATCAGCTATTCTATGTTGTTGACTTGTTGTAATGAATGATTTTCCTGCTTTGAAACAAATATTGTAGTTCAAGGTCAGATATGTTTTAATGAATTGTTAACGAGGACCACTTTGTCAGTGGTCGTATGTTTAGGTTATCATTATTCCAGATCTATTTATTTATTCTAGCCAAATTTTTTTTCTTAGTAGATAGAGTAGATTTATGGTAAATTCAAGTTAAATCCCTTTTTCTCTTTTCATCTTCCTTGTCAGTCCCCAACATAAAATTTGTTCCTCTGTACCCCCTAATTTTAATTTGTCTTTTCAAATCACTCCCCATATATATAGTAATGATATTATTTTTCATTTATTTTGTCTCAAACATAAAAAAACTCTCTCTCTCTCTCTCTTCGTTTTTGCTCTCTCTTCGTTCTCCTTGCATCGCCGTCTCTATCTCTCTCAAAATTGCATCGTCAATCGTCTCTTCCTTTCTGAAAATTTCATCGTCGATTATCTCTTTCTCTCTGAAAAGTACAAAATGTANGTCCCCTCACTCATCATCAATCACGGCGGCTAAGAGGGAGTTAAGTGGGAGAATGATTTGAGGGGTAGGGAGTACAGTGGATTTTTTTTTTATTTTTTTATTTTTTTATTTTTTTTTATGTAGGGACTGAAATGGAAGTTTGAAAAAGGATTGTAGATTTTTAAAGAAGTGTCCCGTAGATTTACCTATTTGCATATACACCATTTATTTTAAATCATCTATTGTACCCTTTTAAAAGTTATTACGTAACAAAAATTGGTTGATTTCTTATGCTGCAGCAGACATTTACTCTAATGTTGCACGACTTTGTATTATTATGGGATTTGGGTTAAATTTCTGGATTTTTTAAAGGTATTTTTATGGAAGCCTATACTGCTTAGTTCAACTGTTATCCTTGTTTGTGGTTGGATTAGGGGTCAACATTTCTTGCAAAATTGTTCTTGTTTCGTCTGCCAAATTTTAGGAATCTACGAGATGTAAAATTATAATCAAAATATGTGCATTAGTAATTATATATACATTGAGCTTAATTTGAGAACACAATTTTTAATTTGACTTTTCCAAAAATGTGCTATCAACGGATGTTATGATACTATTATGATTCTAATCTACCATGCATTTGAGACTAATCATTGGTTTATGTGTTGAAGCAAATATAGTAGTTTAATGTTAGCTTAATTTTTTACTATTGATCGATGTTTGGTGCATTCAAACGTGATTTTGAATATGTCTTAATTGTTTATTGGTAGCGACTTACGTCAATGCTAACTAGTGTGTGGCCCGTGCGATGCACGGGAAAACAATATTACGATTGTATTATAAATTTAATGTATAAATAATATTAATCATGATTTATCCATTGTTTTTAAATTAAACCGGGTTGGACACAATCTACCGGATGGACCGAGAACTGGTTTATAACCAGTCTAGTTCGCTTGAATAAAATATTTGCTCTCAAATACGTCAACACCAGTCGGTTGGACTGGTAGGATCGATACGATTTCCTAAATAAATTTTGTTATATTTAAAATTATTTTAAATAAAATTACATATTTAAATAAAATAGAGATTTATAAATTATTTATCAATTAGTTTAAACATTTGAATTTATAAATTGTTTAGACATTTAAGTAACACATTTTATTTAAATTTAGTACAAAAAGTACTATATATATACATATATAATAAAATGTTTACAAATTAAAATCTGAATAAACCACAAATGATTTAATAAAATATCTTGATCGTTTCGATGACGGTCCAGTTTTGAAAACTTTATATTTAATGTACATTAATAAATATTATAATAAAATATTATTTAATTCACATAAATATTAATAAAATGATATATAAATATTCATAAATCATTAAGCATGTTGTCATAAAAGTATTGTTAATACAACTATTTGAAGTTTGAACTACATTACATTTACGTTATAAAATATTTTCAATATAAAATTTATATTTAGGTTCAATAATCGATTTTGTGTGGTCGAACTGATACATAACTTAGTCACCTGGGACTAACCAAGTTGTGTCAATTTTTTTGACTATTTTAAATATCACCTAAAAGTAATTCAATTAACCTGGGCAGTACCCTAATTCAATCACGCCATTGATCTGAAGAAATTTTCTTATTTTCTTTACATATATGTAATTTTATGAAATAAAAATATTTTAAGATTCATATAATAAATGTCTACACCAAATGATGGTATATTAAGATTATAAATTATATACCTAAAGATGAATTAATTATTTGTACTTTATGCATAATAATAAAAAATAAACATAGTAATTTTCAAAAAAATAAGATTAATTGATTGATTATGCAATTTAAATAATATTTGTAGCGTTCAATATTTTTTTTAAAGGCACAAATATAAAGACCGAGATTCTAAAACTTTTGTTATATTTTGAATTGAGATTTTATAAATATAGAGACCGAGATTTTAATGTTTTTTGTTGTTTCTAAGAAAAAAAATAAAAATAAAAACATACACACTTAATAAATCTTAGCCGAATTTTTTAAATAATAAAATGAACTAAATCTCGAAATGTAAGGTAACATTTAATGAAGATAAGTAATTAAGTGAACAATGATAAAATGCTTTTATTTATTCTAGCAGTCTGCATGTGCGTATAAATATGTAAAATTCATATTTTGATATAGATTGTATTATGAGGAATCAATAAATTCCTTTATTTTAGGAGATATCAAATTTCAATTTGTATTTCAAATTAGATTCCTAAATTTGTAGGCTGCCTAAGTCATAAAGGCTGATTCGACTTATTCAGTTTTATGTAAAAAAAAAAAAAGAAAAGAAAAAAATACGAATTTAATGGTATTGATATATGGGATTGTATGATGGGGGAATAAACAAATTCCTTTATTTTAGGATATATCCGATTTCAATTTGTATTTGCATAAGTATAGAATATGTTTATTTAATATTAAGCAAAATAAATTAATTTTTTTACTTAATTAGATGTCTAATACATCAAGTTTTGTATCAGTCGTGCTTCACAATTTTTTAACTTTATATGTAATTTTAGAATTTATATAAATAATTATTTATTTTTATTACATTGACAACATACCAATTAGATTTGAAATAAATATCATTTTTAAAAGAATACATACCAATTTCTATTATTTTATAATATAATTTATAGTTTTATTTGATATAATTTAATTTAGCTTGATAAATAATTTAAATTTTATTTATAATGATATATATTACTGTTTTGTATTTATATATATATATATATATATATGGACTTCATAATATCAATTCAAATGCAACACAGTAATTAGGATTTTTTTTCTTGACAATATTAACTCTATTTAATACTACATGTTATGGGAAACGATGAAGATGAGATATGAAGAGACACTGTGTATTAAATGGAGGGTTAAAAATGAAAAATTATGAACAAAATATCTAAAACGATATTTATTTTATCAATGATCAATTATGCAAAAGTGACAAATAATAAAAATAGGAGGGAGTATATATTATATATTTTAGTATGACCAATGTTACTTGTGCGACCTATATGTGTTATATTATAATAAATTTTCTACCTTATAACATATAACTAAATGAAACATAAATATATTAATTGATAAATAATTTTATTTCTAATTAATTTAAATAAATAATTCTATTATTATAAAATAAATATAATTTATTTATTTTATAAATACAATATGGATGTCAAATCGAAGTTCATCAAAAGATGATTAATTTGATATATTATATATGTAAAACCGATAAGAAATACAAAAGTTATCAACTTTTAAAATTCTATATATATATAATAAGAATTATCATTTACTAAAAATAGTAGCCAAAAATTTAAGAAATATATAATGTATATCATTTTTGGAAACTTTTTAAATATCAGCATTACTTGCCTCCATATACATGTTTTGAAATAAGTAATGATCAAAAAAATTATTTAAATAAATTTATTAATATCTACAATATTTTTATTGATATTTATTATAATAAATTACAAGATTGATTTTTCGTGATTCATGTTGATAATAATTTGGTCAAGATAAATATTATTTTATTAATATTTGTAATACTTTCATTGATATTTATTATAATAAATCACAAGATTGATTTCCATGATCCATGTTGATAATATTTTGGTCAAGATAAATATTACACCATATTTTAAGTTCTAACCATAGTATTAATTTTTTTTTCACAAATCTTCACTTTTTATCCAAAAATATTTATGAAAAATCAAACAGGTTAGGTAATTTTTTTTTTCCAAGTAATCAGACAAAATCAAGTTGGTGAATTAATCTTTGCCAATATATTTTTTTTCTTAAGCTTTATTTTGTTAAATATAAAAAATAAATTGTTCTTCAAATTAATACTATAATTTATCATTTAAGAGATAATGACCAGATACATTAAATAGTTTTACTAATGGTAAAAAATTAAAATTAAACTATATTCCTAGGATTATTTGTTTATTATTGGCACCCATGATTATTTTTTTTTATTTTTTTATTTTGATTTATTTCTATAATTAAATTCTTGTAAAATATATTTTCATTGCAGAATATGCTAAATAAACTAGAAATCCTTATAATGTGAATTAGAAAAATCTTGATCATAGAAGGGATTGAGTTTTTGGTATTTTCTAAATAAAAGTTGTTTAATTAGTATACAAAATAAAATAAAAAAAAAACATGTTTATATTTTGTAAAATATTTATATACTATTTAATTTTAAATTTATTTAAATTTATTTAAATATTTTAAATTAATTACATAAATAAATAATACTAATATGCATTAAATATTTTTCATTACATAAAATAAAAGAAAAAGAAAAGACGTACAACTTCTATAACTTTATAAATAATAATGATATTATATGACAACAAAATTTGTAATAAAATAATAATTAAGTATTATATATTGAACAAGAATAATTAAAATTATTATTCTCTCTTATATCAAGGAATAAATATATATACTAAAACCAAATTTTTATTAGTGAGATAATATATTAATTATTTTACAAGCTAGCCCTAACATGCTCATATTTAATGTTTTGTCAAAAAAAAAAAAAAAACGCTGATTAAAAGAGGTGCAAAATAGATTGTAACATTTATTGTTTATTACACTTAACGCTGATTAAAAGAGGTAGAAAATATATGATAATCCTATTGCTTTATATACTTAAACAGACAAAGCCTTTGAAAATAACCCATTTAATATTTTTGTCATGTGCATCGCACGGGGTACGTACTAGTGATATTAAAATACAATTAATACAAATATTAATTTATATCCAAGTCTAACTCTAAAGCATGATTTTTTGTCAAATAGGATTCCGAAGTATGAGAGTTTGTCACGTAGGCTCAACGCATTCTGAAATTATATATAAAGGACATGTAATTAAAAATTGTTACAAAAGCATTTTAATGAAAAAACCATAAAAAGGTTAAATAAAAAACGTAAACGTTTAAAATGGGAACAGAGCCGACTCACGTACAAGTTGCAACCGAAACCGGTGTGGCATCGCGATGTGGTCCACTTTCGTTAGTTGTTCGTTGTCAGTAGCAGCCGTTCGTTTGTCGACTTTTAACAATATAGAAAAGTAAACAAAGAAAAAAATCACTTCTGAGGGCATCCACATCCCTTTAACACCATTTTCATTCATTCAATAAAAAAGTAACACTCTCTCTCATCCACATCATCTTTCCACTAAATCTCTCTCCATTTAAACACACACCCACATTCCTACACATTTATTTAAATACATATATGGGACCCATTATCCACTCATTCAATATAATTTTTAATATTCTATTCTCAATAAAAATAAAAATTTAATATTATTAAATTCTAATAATAAATTTTAAATGCATTAAAATGAAAGAACACTACAAGATCAAAATAACTTAAATTAAGATTACACAAGAAAAAAATAGTACAATTATAAAAAATATTTTTTTTAGTTGCTGGTAAAATGAGTCCAAATATGGTGCAGGAAAAGTGACAAACTGTGGTGTATTTATATGCAAAGAAGGGGATAGAAAATATAAATTATTGATACATATTAGAAAGTATGATATAGATAAAATTTGAATTTATCATTATTGGGAATTGTCATATAGATAAAAAATAAATTAAATATATAAAAGAATAATAATATAATAAAACAATTCATTTAAAACAAAACAAAAAAAAAAAAAGTAAAGGGGTGAGCGTTCAGCCCTTTGAACGAAATAGTTGCCCCACTCAAATAATGAACGCCCGCATTCATTTGAACAAGAAAGTGGCGTTTAAACGGGGTGTTTTAACGCCCGATGCGGGTGCCCTAACCATTCTAACTCAACTTTTAAAATATTTGCAATTGAAATTCCAACTTTTAATTTAATAATTCTTTACAAGACGTTGACCATTTATTAAAAATAGTAAGATGCGACGTTACAATGTTTAATTAATTGCAGGAGAAAAAGAAAATAAC